GGGCAGAAACCAACCGCTTGAAGTTAACAGATAAGCTTATCAAAACCTAGGAGATAAGAATGGATTAATAAAATGGGGAAAAGAAAAATTGGTCCCTTTTTAAAAAATTTAAGCTGCCAAATATTTATGCTATCATTTTGAAAGCACATCCAGAACATCAAGATGTTTCCAGGACACTCACTTTTTTGTTAAGCAAAGGGTTAAACGCTGACTGGATATTTATAAGCTCTTTAAAGGGAATGTGTGGCTCTCTAGCTACTGCTGAAGTGCTACCACTGTCCCTGCAGAGTGTCAGTTATGCTGGCCAGGGCTGATTTTAAGAGAGGCCTGTTACCCATCTTTGCTTTGCAGTCTGCAAGCAACAGTAGGTATACCTTTTATGAAGAAGGCCTCACTGCTCAGTTTAGACAGCAGCTGTACGCTCTAAATTTTTTACATTATCTCCTCTCAGAAAAAGTCAAGTTTCTCATTTGTAGATTCAGAATTGATTCAAGCTGGAACGGGAGCTGGACAGTCTTAGCCACCTTCCTCAAACAGCCACGGTCCATGTGAAAAGTAGCTGCCTATTATTTACCTGGTTTCCTGGCTTGACCAAGCGCAGGGCAGCTTCGGCACAGAGGTGAGCGGCTTTTATGACATCAGCTTTGCGACCTGTCACTGGAGTTTCCTGAAATGGGGAGAGAAAACAATAATACAGAAGCATCCATTTTAAAAGTTGAAGAAAAGAGAACTTTCTAGCTGACATACAAGAAATAAACCTTAAAACTTGTCAGATTTAAACGTTCTATACAGAATTTAACTGCACTGTACAGTGTCCTTCTTCTGATGCCGCATTAATACCTCCTATGATTCAAAAATCTTAACTGCCCAAAAAGAGAAATAATAATCAATATGGTCATTATTCTTTATTAGCTTGACTGAATTATTTTACTGAGTCCATTGGAATTGGGTGACTTTAATAAATTTGAATGAATGAATGAATACAGAAATGCCCCATTGCTCTATCAGCAGCAACTGAGTGGAAGAACAAAAGGCACCTTAATGTAACACAGCATGACTCATGCTTAATCTTTTATTATTCATTACCATCTTCTGTTTTATCTGTGGTTTTAATAATTTTGGTATCTTTTTTTTCCTGAATACCCTGGTCAAACTGAATAGGACAAATCCTTCAAAAAGCTGTAAATAATACGTATCACCCAATGATCTGATCAATCATTATAGCTGTTTGCTCATTTGGGCAGTGATAAGAGATTAACACTATACACAGATTCAACTGCTCCCATTAAT